ATCATACCATTAGATTGCAAGCTCTTTAGGACAGTGTATATATTTATACATTAAATCACAAGCACTTTGTACAGGAATTCCATGGCTGGTGACATCTGACACACCAGTAGTTTGCCAGTTTTTTAGGGGTGAAGTATCTGCTGTGGCGGAGCTAATCTAGAGAGCGCCTTGGAGCAAGACATTTTGTTGGGGTGTATGCACATACACCGATACACTGCCACATACACACATACTTACGCAGCAATACCCATCGGTTGACCCCAAGCGCATGAGCCGCCAGAAGGGCATTGCTGCATCAGTATGTGTGTATGTGGCAGTGTATCGGTGTATGTGCATACACCCCAACTCTCAAACACAAACATTACATACAAACACATCACTGCGATCAAACACATCTGATTATTATTAATATCTTGTTCTAATACTTTACCTGTATTTTACAAAATGCCGTAAAGAGACTCTAAGCACCATAACCACCTGTTTGATTACATAGGTTAGGACACAGACCAATTCCATGTTATAGTCTCTGCAGATTGTTGCTTATAACTGCAGTGATTTCCAATATCTGCAGCATAAATGGGACTGACATCAGGATGAACTTCATTTTCCCTTGTCTTCCAAATCGAGCCAAATTGCTTATGCTGGGTGAGAGCATGCAGTGTAGGCCCCTCTGTCGTGATCAGTGGTTTAGGAGAATGCTGCACAGAGCACCAACCATAACTCTGAATAAGGCTGTCAACAGGTGGATACCAGCAGCAATATGCCAGTTACTAACAGCAGTTTCACATATCAAATCTGATGAATGGAAGTGTGTATGGGGGACAAACTGCTTGACACGGGTTTTTGGGACAAAATCAGATCCCAAAGACTAGAATGAGAGACTCCTGATTGGTGGAGATTCTTCCTGATTGGGAGGCGCAGTCATGCTTGTACCTTATTGTCAGCAAGAACTGTGAATGTGAGTATTCTTTATTTTTTAAATGTATTTATATAACATATTTAAAATTGTAGACCGTGTACAGACTGTCCCTTCAAGTTCTTTGACACCACTTTTCCCATTATACCATGATGCGCTTCTGAGACTGTATCTTTCTTTTACACAGACTTACCTATAAAACATTCAGAATGCACATTTCAGTCAACTGTATACTTACACCGATATCCATACACATTAATACACAAAGATGCACACATATAAACACACTGACACAACACATTCAGGTACACACTGATAGACAGACACACACACACTGACACATATACAAACTTGGATACACACACTGACACACACACAGATACACACAGTTATATCGCCAACATTATTACAAAGTATGTTTTTTTTTACAGTTTTACATGCTATTAACACTGCAAGCTCACTGGTGCAGAATCCAGAATCGCGTGTCCTATACCACAACATGCTGTGTTTGTTGGGATCTCATCACTTTGTTTTAAACTCTTTGGAACTTGATGAACCTTTAAACTGAGCGTCTTTCATATAATTCGTACACTGCCAGTGTTTGCCGCTGTTATACACTGTCCATCTACATGCACCTGTCTGTTCCTGTGGTATATTCGTTCAAATCAGCCCCGTGTTGTAATCCGTTATATTAAGCCGTACATATTAAGTTGCTCTATAAATAAATTCATCTAATGCACTATTACTCTGCACACCCTTTACTGATGGACCTTTTGCAAATAGTCAAACAGCCTAATTCATTACAATTTTTTCCTGCGTACCTCCTACCTAGAAAAAAGGCTTATCCCCGAGAGATGGAAATCTGCTTTTAATGAACTTTTTTCCCTCTTTCAAAATGCCTATCATTATTAAATGTGGACTTGCAATGCCGTTTGTTTTTCTTTGTTCCATTTTTGCTTCCTTGGAAGTTTTAATTGGCGTTGGTTCCCCCTGCCGTTCCACCTCGATCCTTGACCTCTTGGGACGCTGTGTACGTTTGATGCTTCCTGGGTATTTGCAACAAACAGTTCTTGGCTGCAAGCAGCAGGTGGGAAGGTCGAGTCACTGTGTACTCAGCTGCAAGCCACAGGTGGGCAGCCAAGGTCATCGTGTAATGCTGGAACATCTGAAAGAGACTCGGTATGATGGAATGTTGACCAGCAGTACAGAGAGCTGAGTCAGTTCTATTTGGAACCCACTGCGAAAAGCAATTTTTGCTCTGCACACCATCAGATAGCACTGGTCAATGCCTGCAAAAAAACATTTATACCTGAAGAAAGATCTAGGCGGTCTCCAATCAGGCTTAGATTTTCCAAAGTTGTATAGCCCTATTTGCAAATCCATGTATCATGTCTGGACAAAAACAAGTTTTCCATTTTTCACAAATGGACTGAGGTGCCTGTTAGTTGTATCGACAAGGTTACCCCGACACAAGACCAAAAACCTGTTTTATGAATCCATGTGCATACAACAACATGACCTTGGGAAGTGCCCACACTCAAATTCTAATCAATGCCAAACTAGAGTCAGGTTCGCTCCTAGAATCTCCACCAAATGGTTGGACATTTTACACACAAGCAGAGATATTCAAGAGTAAGAGTGGCGAAACAATCTAGAACTATAGTCATTACCATGACAACCAATAGAATATTCCTGCTGATTTTATAACTGTATTCCTAAATATTGAATTATAGTTTACAGATTGCTCAGCGGATAGGGCTTCAATTGCAATATCTCTGAGTTCAATAGATCATTTTAAGTTTTGGTCCTTCTGAAGTCAATAGATTAATCATATTGATCTTGGTAATAATAACATATGGACTGTGCATGTCTATGTATCTGCATGTGTATGCCTGTTTGCCTGTGTATGCACATGTGTATCTGCATGTGTGTCAGTGTGTGTATATGTATGTGTGTATACATCGCAGAATCTCACTAAAACTACGCACAAATACACCCTTGCATTCAAAAGTCAGTACTACATACAAGCACACTCATGCATACAAACATCAACACTACATACAAACACAGACAACCACACCCTGGTCTTGCGGTTAAAGCAGACCCAGCATTAAATGTCTATAACCGCCCTGCAAAAACAGCACCAGGCTACGTTACTTCATATATGCCTTGGAGGACATTGCAAGATGCAGAAATCTCAAGAGTAGAGGGGTTTTGTAGGATGACAATACCGGTGAACTTTCTCAATATATCAGGTGTTTGAATCTAACTTTATTGCCTCACAAGAAAACCAAAGCTTTAAATATTCACCCAATGTATTGCATCGCTAAATCACCCACAGCACCATGTCCACATGATATCATAGTTACCTTTGGCACAATCACAGATAAGAATAAAGTCATAGCTGTGTTAAGGGGGGAAACTCCAAATGCATTTGAGTCATCTTGTCTGACCTTCCACCTCAATTTGTGATGTTCTACACTTCGCTAGAGACAAACCTTCAGCGCTGTTACCAAACACATTGGGAAACCCCTAAATCCCTGTTGGTGGAACATAAGTGTCTACACCTGAAGCTGCAGGTCTTCCATTGCAACGGCTCGACATTTCTGTTCAATGGGGTGTCCCTCTCGGAATCCCTGGCACCCAGACATGTGTCCAGTACTGGTCCTTCCTGAAGGCTCTTCAGCTGGACATCCTTGTTTCATTATTATTTTTCTTCTTGTAGGCCCTTGGTTTATCCCTCTATAGCTTAATATTGGACAAATTACTAAGGTTGCTACTGAATTCCATTTATTATTTCATGTTCATATTTGTTTTCTATTCCCCCCACCAATAGGGAGACAAGTCCCAAATCAAATTTACTTAAGAGATGTCTTTGGGTTACCATTTGGTTTGTCCCTTTATTTTCTACAAATAGATTTTGTCCACTCTTACTTCTTGTGCCTCAGTGGACATAGTCTATTGCCTTATCACAGTTATTTATATATTATAAAATGTGAATCTTGTATCAAAGATTGTGTCCATGCGTAAGTAACTTCTCATATGATTCACGCAATAATTAAGAATAAAAAATAAAAAAAAATGCCATTCCGGACAATTCCTAGTTTAGTGAATAAAAATACCCTGCCAGTAAAAATCCTACGCACTGCACTAATGGTTAAAAAACTTTTTCGCAAGTAACCAAAATAAATAAAGACGAATAAAGAAAAAAAAAGTCTCGAAGAGGAGCATTATAAAACAAGTTAAAAAAAGAGACGGATGTCATGTAAACTGAGCATAGAATAATCAATAGATTCACGTATGGGATCTCTTATGTAATGGAAACGGACAGCCCAGGAAATTGAAATCCCAGATTTATAATCTAACAAAGGTGACCATATGGTGTTAGAAGAGTTCATTACACCTGAACATAAGGGAACTGCTCTTTCTATCACGGAATTAAAATCACATTGTGTCATTGGGAGAATTATTCGTACCAATGAACATTTTTTTATCTCATCTTAAAGTTTGCTCTAAATTAGATTGATATCTAAACACTTGCACACAAAACATTTAAATCTTGGGTTTCAGTAATACTATTTGACAAGTTATATTGTAAAATATTTTCTGATGATTTCATTTTAAATAAGATGTCACTCATGCATATACTTCTACTCTTTGGTACCAAATAACCTACCACCATAGACCTTCCAAGTCATACACCAAGCAACATACCACCATATACCCTCCACCAAAAAATATACCACCATAGACCCTCCAAGTCACACACCAAATTATACCACCAGAGATCTTCCAAGTCATAAACCAAGCAACATACCACCATATACCCTCCACCAAAAAATATACCACCATAGACCCTCCAAGTCACACACCAAATTATACCACCAGAGATCTTCCAAGTCAAGTAGCATACCAACAAGGACCCTCCAAGTCAAACACCAAACATACCACCATAGACCCTCCAAGTCACACATCAACCAACATGCCACTATAAACCATTCAAGTCACATACCAAATAAAAACCAAAGAAAAACACGTTACCTGCGCTCTCTACTTAATCCCTATGTATTTTTAAACAAATTTAGTTTTTTTTTTAGTTACCTCCAATGGCCATGAGAGGATAAGCCCACCTGCCAACGTCAAGGCAGACCCCCCCCAGGTGGGTCCTAACTCTAACCATTCACCTTGCTTCCTTGAGCTTCTGGCAAAGATCTCTAATGAGACAGAAAGGGGTATTTTTTATATACACCCCTATATACTTATTAACCCTTAATAGGGAACACATGGGATGGGCGGCACCATGGTAACAAGGCTGAGTGATACAAAAAATGGATACAAATGCAGAAAGATAAGTCCTGCGCTCACTCCCATCACTGGGCGGCAGCAAAGACTACAGTACACATCAGCCCCACTATATAGTAAAACCCAAAGACCTCCATTTGTTTAAAAATACATAGGGATTAAGGAGAGAGCGCAGGTTACTTGTTTTTCTTTCGTTTTTACTATATATTGTGGCTGATGTGTACCTTAGTTATTGCTGCCGCCCAGTGATGGGAGTGAGCGCAGGACTTATCTTTCCACATACCAAATAAGCCAACTACCATAGATCCACCTGGTCACCTAAATCCACCCAACCTAACTTATGCTTATTACACACAGGCCAACATTCACAGATTGCATATGCCGTCATACACTATCACACACAAGGGACTAGCATGGAAGGGCTGGCAAGAAAGGAACGAGGGCAACTGCACCCTGGCCACTAGCATGGGAGGGCTGGCAACAGGGTTATGGACTACAGGCTCAAACCAATTCTTCTGAAAATTAAAATAGCAAGAGTTATATTGAGATATCTGCAGAAGTAAGGTACCAGACAGGATCTGAGCAGAACCTTTGCTAGCCTTCTATCATGTATTAAAATTGCAGATTAAAATGTTCCTGCACAGCCCCCCTCTTCTATTCTGTACCCTGCCGAGCAGGCGCCAATGTTGAACAATGTGAAGCACTAATAAAACCAAGTTTCAAATTGGAAAAAAAAATAAAATTGCAGATTATGCTCTTTAGTGTACCTGTAATGTAATTATAATCTTAATCTTCCCTCCTTTCCCCCTTGGGAGTACTTATGTGTTATATACCCATGGGGTTATCGATTTTTGCTTACCTTTGCACGGTATACCGTTTGTCTAGTGGTAAAGTTATAGCCATTGCCATTTGTATTTCCTAACATGTTTTGTGTTTAATTAGTTTTCATACTATCATATTAGTTTTATCATTGTTGTGATGTTACGACTTGTTTTCATCACTTCGTGATCATGTGTTTTGTCTCTTGTCTCAGTGTGATTTTATAGGTAATCGAAAGCTAGCATAGTCTACAATTTAGCCACAGCACATGGATACTAAAGAAATCCTGATAGTGTTTGGCAGGGGTATTGAACTCCTTGCCTCCAGCCCAGCTGTAGCTAAACTACAACTGTGAAAATTTTCTGCTAGTCATTGGATGCAGCAGAGTACTGTGTGAGATGTTACACAATGCTTGACTCGCTGGTGTACTGAATGTTGTTGGTGATCTATTGGGAGGTATAGATTCTGTTTACAGCCCTTACAGTGGCAAGGCTCCAGGTACAGAGGAGAGAAAATTAGAAAAAGGAACCTCCATGGAGTATGCAATAGCCAGGTGACTAGCCAAGATTGAGTACGCCGGGAATGTCACACCATCGATTAACAAATCATATCATGAATTCCAGAGAGAATTCAAACCATGAACACAATGCGGGATATTTATAAAAGTGACCATTTTGCCATTATTCTGATTGTAATTATTAAAGTGATCCAAAAATAGACTATTATATTTTATTAGTACATTTCACATTTTTTTGCCGAAATTTCAATTTAAGGAGATGAACAGAAATCTAGGGGCGTGTAAAATAAATAAATAAGTGAAATAGATAACAGAATGTGCCATACAAGGTGGGTGGGCAGTGCAATGGGGCGCCTGTTTCTCCTAACATTGACATTTGTGGGCAATACTGGTTTTCTACAAATTAATATCCAATAAATACTCTACTACAAATGTGTATACTGTCATACCTGAGAGCGCAACGCTATGTCGAAACGTTTCTGTATATTAATTCATCTCATTCATGTGAAGAGAAGAGAACTAATGAGGTTAGGGTTCCACACCCCTCTGAAATTACCTCCAATTAAAACATCATTAAAGGTAATTCATTTTATTAATAAAGCCAACACACAGACATGACAAAATAAACACACAAAAAAAGAACTTGCAACCTAAAGTAAAACAACAAAAAAGTGTTGGTTGTATTATAAAAAAGAGAATGGAAATTTAGAGGTTACCTGTAAAGGTATTAGATATATTCAGCATTGAAATTATGTTTCAAATATCTCTTGAAATAGAGTTAGTTGGTATACAGTGTCCAAATCACCAGGATATATACAATGTAACCTTAGATGCCTCTCTCTCTCTCTCTCTCTCTCTCTCTCTCTCTCTCTATATATATATATATATAGGGGAAGCAAATTTAAATGTAATATTTAAATAATTAGAAATAGCATTAGGTATATAGACCTGTTAAAAAAAAAAAGTAGGGAGGTCCTATGTAAAGAGCCACACACTATTAAAGAACTACCAATGGATATTTGGCGGAAAACGTTAATGATCTATAGAATATAATTAGATGTTGTGCTAATAAAGCAGCTCCGCTATATAAGTACTGAATCCAAGGGGTAGACATGAAACACAGCTTGAATTGAAGTAAAAAGTGGGGGAAGAGTGTATATAATTACCAGCTAAAAGGGAAATTGTAAATACACAGGTATAGGGGGGAAATGTAGCTTCCAGCCCATCTCTCTGAATACTTCTTCCAGCCTGCTGCTTCGAAGCCCTAACCTCATTAGTTCTCTTCTCTTTACTGTTATGCCCACATTACCTCTATAACCCATCTTTGACAACAGTGTAATTCTATCTTACATCTTGGGCTTTTTCTTTCTTCATCTCATTCATGGTTAATGGGTCACCAACAAGCGGCGTTCATCTAAAATCAAATTCCAGAAAGTCTTCATATTTCTACTTAACGAGAGACACAATTTATTGAGAATAAGTAGTGTTTTCTTAAACCTACAGAGAAATGGACAGTTTTATGTTTTCCATAACCTTTTGCATAAAGGCTGGGAATAGAATCCTCACTAATCCCTGTGGGTTAGTTGTAATGGTGGAATTTTGGATTCTATCCCAGTTAAGCAGGTGTGAGCCATGTTCTTTTCTCTCTATTTTTTTTTTTGGGGGATTTAAGGGGTGGCAGGGGGTTGTTGTGCTGGGGCAGTGATAGAAGTTCTCAGAGAAGGTCTCACAGAATGAAAAAGCATGGAGCCTTATCTGGCAAAGAGCCACACAATGAATTATTTTGGTTTGGGAGAAATCCTGCAAATATCTTACATGGCAAAATCCTCTATTATGATTTATACTAAAGTGTTCTCTGTCCAGCCTTCCTGCCACATGTATTCAAAATGTCATACTCTCCATCTTTATCTGATCACCTGGACTTAGGTGGGATCTCCCGGGGAAATTCAGGCGATCTTGTCCAAACGAGTTTACTCCATCCTCGCGCTTCAGATGGGTGAGTTAACGGCAGTTCACAATAAAGACATCAAGCGTCTGCTCAGGCCCAACACTTTACTTGGTCTCATTGAATCCATTGACTAAGCAGATTTAGTTTGGTTTTCATTTATGGTTGGCGAGCGCACCTACCCATCATCAATTGTATTGTTCCAAACATTCTAACGCACATTCACTAATGTGCCAATATTGATGCATCCCATGCCGTATGTCGCCACATCGTACATTGTACATTAAAACATTGTGACTCCGTAGAACGTGAGGAAACAAAATTAAACTATATCAGAGAAAAACATGTCAAGACCTTGACCCTGGCTTTAATAAAACTCTGTTTTATAAAATAAATCATTTAACCGTACTGTGCTCATAGAACAATTCGATTAGCCTGGAAGGGGGTTTAATCAAACATTGCTCTGCACAGTGGCAGACGACTCCCTAGCGCACGTGGGGTTAATTCACGTTCCAATTGTCCTGCTTGGCATTATCAGAGTGGCCATGCTGTGTTTTCCCAGCATTGGCTGGCAGCATCTGTGTAAAGCTCCCCTTATGTAACAGTGCATCCCTCAGGGCAGCGAAGCGAAAGCATCCAGATGCCGGCATGAAAGTCTAATCAGGTGAATAAAATACAGCGGGAGAGAAACTAAATCAGCCCATAGCATCATGGATGTCTGCTCTGGGGTCTTTCTTAATTAACCCTGTCATTTCATCAGAGTGACTGCAGTAGCCCACATCCCCTTGACTGCAGGTGTTCTCCTAGCTAATGTAGATTGTACCCTAACCCCAAATGTATCCATCGTTGCCATGTACCCTCCAACTCTTAGTAATTCTATAATTAATGTAGAAAAAAGCTTTAATAGCAAATGTGGACCCTAGACATTAATATGGAATAAAACGACATGTAGCGGTCAGAAATATATTAACGCTATGTTTATCCATGATGAACCCTGATTACACTTCAATCTTAATAGCACCTTTACAATAATGCCAGTGCTCCTCTGCTTTAATGACCAATGACATTTTTTAAAATTTGTTTTTTGTTAGTACAAAAATCGAGCACTGCAAATAATCATACTCATCTTAAGACATTAAAAATAATACACAAGATCCAGCGCACTCACTTATCCACTAAACAGCAACTTTAATGTTGACAGATTGTATTAGATTTTTTCTAAAACACCTAATCTAGGCAAAAGACAATGGGGGTTTAGTTACATTATATAATCATATATTGCATAAGCCTGCCACAACGTCCATGTACCCCATCTTTGGCAGGTCCTACTCTAATACTTCTTACTGGGGCCCCCTGCAGTACAAGGCTAAATAGGGCCCTGGGACGAGGCACCTGTGACAGGGAGGGGTGCAAAACCAAGGAATTGGCTAGACCTCCAAATATACACTGCTTAAAAAATAAAGGGAACACTTAAACAACACAATGTAACTCCAAGTCAATCACACTTCTGTGAAATCAAACTGTCCACTTAGGAAGCAACACTGAGTGACAATCAATTTCACATGCTGTTGTGCAAATGGGATAGACAACAGGTGGAAATTATAGGCAATTAGCAAGACAACCCCAATAAAGGAGTGGTTCTGCAGGTGGTGACCACAGACCACTTCTCAGTTCCTATGCTTCCTGGCTGATGTTTTGGTCACTTTTGAATGC